GAGAGAGGTGGCCAAATGAGATAGGACCATCCTATTCAATTACAAAAGACAAACGAGGGTTAAAAAGAACAACAATGCACAACCATATGCCGAGGACAAAACGCCCTGGTGTCTTCTTTCGAGCCACTGTCTTTTCTCGGTTATTTCATAAGAAATGTGTCTGATATTTTCTTTCAAACATAACGCCATAATATTTGTGGTGCAGTTATGCTGACGGGGAATGACAGGGAGAAAGATTCGATTCGACAGCGCTTGGATGAAGTAGAAAAAGAATCGACTCCGTGACGAAGATTCTATTTGATTCGACGCGGTTGGCAAAAAAAATCGCTTTGACAGCGATTCGCTGAAAACAAAACATTCGCTTACGTTCAAAAATTGCATTCGATAGTACGTGACTGAAGGAAATAAAAGACTCGATTTTGTCCTTAGATTCTGTTTGACAGCGATTGACTACAGAAAAATAAATAAATAATGCTGCATGAACCAATTTGATTTGACAGTCATTGACACGATTCGTTTCGATTCATCGACATAAATCAAGAAAGACCAAGAAAGAACAGCAAACACAGGCACATGTGTTTATTCTTGTTATGATTATGTATTTAGCAGCTTGTAGGCCAGACATTAACACTTCAGTAACGTAAGCTGACTCATTAACGAACCTCAAATAAGTGGTTCATTATTATTCATTTAAAAATGTACATGAAAATGAAGCTTCAGAACATGTGCCTATTTGAATTAAGCTCTGTTTTATAATGTAATTACACGTACTATAGGCCTAATGAACTTGTGTTAATAGTTAGATAAGAGTCTCATCACATTTTGTGGTCAAGTTGATCAACTTTACAGCTCATTTGTTTGCAGAATAGCCCTGATTTTATAGACATTATAAAATCCCAATTGCACAGTGAAATCCATTTGGCTATGCGGACGGACTCATCAAATAGTCTTCAGGTGCTTACAATCCAGACCGAAGACTCTCTGCATTATGCATTCATTACATTGATTAACAATAAATAGATGAATGAATAAATACATGGTAAACAGGACAAAACTCACATGTCCTAAGAAACACTGCCACCTTGTGGCAATACAACGTCTGTATATTAACACAGAATTAACACTGAAATGTATTATTATTACCATGAACTGCACAAGACGAACTATATTCAAAATTATTTTCAAAGTATTTAATTCAACTGAAAACTTTAATCTTTGGTGTAATGCAAATACATTCACCTAGTCAAATAACTATTTACTGTAGTTAAACCTCTGAGACTTTTTGTCTTCAATTTAGAATTGTATATGCAATGTACATTTATCAAACATATATTCGTGTCCAAAACACATTCATATACATGCAAATAAAATCAATTAGATGTAGCTGTAATTTTGAACTGGCTTTAGCCTTGTCACATAGCCCCACTTTCTCCCCACAGGTGCATTGACAGATTATCTGAGGCTGTTATTGGCAGTCTTTCTCCTTCTCTGGAAGTTTTAATTAATTTTCCTGCTGTAAAAAATCATATAAAGTCAGCGGGAGCCTGAAGCTGCCTTTCTCAATATTCTGCGGTCTTGTAACGAGCAGTGCAGGGCCACACGGGGTCGGAGAAATCTTTCATTTCAGCCAGTGAGAGATGAATTGAACACTAGACTTGACCTCCTGTTGATTACAAACCATCCCAGAACTCTGCTGCCATACTTGTGCCGCTTAATTACAAAGAAATGCTACATATTTCTTGCAAACATACACTATACAGTGCATATTTTAGTAAATGTATGTAATCACAATATATGTCTTTGTGGTATAGAAATTGTTGCACACAAATTGTAACTTAAGTATGAAAACCTAATCTGTTCTTTGGCCTGTCGTTCCATGGTTCTTTGAATGAATTACATCAGTGTAATTATCTGTGTGTATTTAACCGGGCTGAAACTGATACACTAGTATTTGAGTTCATGTGGAATGAAGGCAATGGTAAATGTGCTCATGTGACAGTGAAAAATGGGCACAGGTGATCTGGCATCGTATGTCGCCTATTCCCATTGTTGTAGAAATGTTTAGTGAATTGTTAGACATGAGGCACAAGATAGACACACGCTCACTATCAATAAATAAATAAAATTCTGTCATCACTTATTCACTCTCATGTTGTTCATCACATGCCTTGCTTTTTTCTGCACAACACAAACATGTTAATGGGAATGTTCACGCTGCACTTTTGCATTTTTTTTTAAATTACTGTATGACAATGTTGTCTGATTCCCTAATGAATAACTCTAGCCTAATGATCCAGCTCAACAAATAGTGCGATTGGTGTAGTTCGATTCCTAATCGAATGACTATGACTTATCTTATCTTTTTTTTTGCAAATCAAAAGCATGACCAGTGTAGTCCGACTCCCTTAAAACTGACTCTTGCAAACAAGCAGCTTATTCCTCCAAATAATAAATCTCAACCAGTGTAATCCAATTCCTGTAATAACTAACAAACCAAACAACCCAGTCAGTGTAATCAAACTACTTTCCAAATGAATGACTCGTATGAACCGGTTCTTTTTAGTGAATCAAAATCATGTGGTGCAATCTGTGTAGTCCGATTTCTGAATGAATGATTCTTATGAGCTGGTTCTTTTTTTGTGAATCAAAAACATGCAGTGTGATTTGTGTAGTTTAGGCACCGGTTCTTTTTAGTAAATCCAAAACATACGTTGCAATCTATGAAGTCCAAATTCCGAAGCAATGTCTCTTAAGAGCCGATTCTTTTTAGTGAATACAAAACATATGCTGCGATTGATTCAGTTAGATTCCAGAACTCTTTTTTCCAGTGGTGGACAGTAACGGAGTAGTTTTACTTCGTTACTATACTTAAGTACATTTTTCAAGTATCTGTACTTTACTGGAGTAGTTTTATTTTGAGTAACTTTTACTTTTACTTCACTACATTCCAAAGCATAAGATCGTACTTTTTACTTTACTACATTTCATAAAACATATCGTTACTCCTTATAATATATCACGTGCTCCGAGATGCAGAAGCGGTGTCTGATTCATGAACGAACTGATTCTTTTCAATGAACCTTTTAAATCGGTTCGCAAATCGCACCAAACGATTCATTCACGAATTGGAATGATCCGATTGTAGCTTTTCTCGAGTCGACAACTCACTGATTCAAATGAACCGTTTAGTGCGAGTCTCCAGTGAACTGAATTCACAAGTAAGAACCGGGAGAACTTGTGAGTGCGCGCGCGTCTGATGCTGCTAAAAGTAAGTTACTAATGTTGAATTTTAGGATTAATTATTGTAACTGAAAATCATATTTAGGTCAAAACTGTCAGTTGTTTGTGAACTAAATCTGCTGTAAAGGGTGATCTATTTAAGCCCACTGAAATGCTTGAATGCAGACACATCAACATCAGTGTCTCTATGTTTTAGGTAAAAAACAAAAAAACAAACGAAACATTAAAATAACACAGATTAAAATAACTCATGCACGTTCATATACCCCGCTGCGTAACGTTAACAGTTTTATTAAAATGCTACGCATTTAGCCCTATGTGACGTCTGTTTTTATATTGTTTGGATTAACTAGCCGAGTAGACAGATATGAATGTTTATTCATAACCATACTGAAAATAAGTAAATATTGTTAGCTGATGCTAACTGTCTAGCTAACAAGCTTGCTGGTGCTAAGCTGAGGTAACGTTAATTTTTAGATATAAAGTCCAAATATTTTTATTCAACCACCTAGATAGATTACATCTGGGGGAAAATAAAGGATGTGATGTTCAGAACATGGTAACTACAGTAATTATCAAAGTGGGAAGTGATGCCCTCTGGGGGCATTTGGCCAGGGGTGTTTTTACACCACAGACAAGGTTTGAGAAGAAAAAAAATCATTATGAAAATATAATTATATTTTCCTTAAAATGTTCTATCTAACTTCAGGCCTTATTCTCATGTCATATATAACTGTGATGTTCTGCAAAACAACAAGCTTTAAAACACTTTTTTCTTACTGGTGAAAATCAGATGGTCAAATCTGTTTTCTCTCAGGTACTTCGCAGTGTAAGCTTCACAGTGAACATTACTACATCACTCTCGTCAACGTAGTCCATATCAACAACAAAAATATATCTTGACTCCATTTAGTGGTTATTTTCGGAAAATTCCAGGTATTTTGAGCAGAAGGATTATAAAAATAATGTGCTAATATAAAATTAAATTAAGTAGCCTATATAAAATTGCAAAATAAATCTATCTATCAGTACTTTTTTACTTAAGTACATAAAAAAGCGAGAACTTTTGTACTTTCACTCAAGTAAAATTGAAAAAGGCATACTTTTACTGGAGTAATATTTTATTATACGTATCTGTACTTTTACTCAAGTACTTGATTTTTGTACTTCGTCCACCACTGTCAAAAACATATAGTGCGATCTGTGTAGTCTGATTCCTAAACGAATCACTATTATGAACCGGTGTTTTTTACAGTGTGATTTTTGTAGCTTTGGAACCAGTTCTTTTTAGTGAATCAAAAACATGCAATCTGTGAAGTCCAAATTCCGAACAAATGACTCAAAGGAACCGTTATTTATTTATTTATTTTTGTGTCAATCAAAAACATACTTTGCGATCCAGGTAGTCCAACAAATTACTCTGGTTTGTTGACTACTTTTATGGTGCTTTTTATCCTCATTGGTCCATGGTCACTATGGACACCCGTTTCCGCCACATAATAAAAAAATAAAAATGGTAATTGTGACTTTTTATCTCACAGTTCTGATTTACAAACTCAGAACTGCAATATATAAAAAAAATTCAGAAGGATCTGCGATAAAAAAAGAAAAGTCTGAATTGTGAGACGTTATCTCTGAATTATGAACTAAAAAATTGCAATTATTATTTTTTTAATAGCTGCCATATGCTGTCATTGTAAAGCTGCATTAACATTCTGGTAAA